GTGTGTGTGTGTGTGTGTGTGTCCTGTGATGGACTGGTGTCCTGTCCAGGGTGTGTGTGTCTGTGTGTGTGTGCCCAGCGATGGACTGGTGTCCCACCCATGGTGTACCCTGGGAGTGTCGTTCACTTACAGACATCCAGCTGTTCCTATTCTTTTTCCAGCTGGCTCTCTGTCAGGATAAAAGCCCACATGTATCTAAACACAAACAGATACACGGTACTTCAGAGGAGAACTCAGGGCCGAGCAAAGGGCTTCTCCAGTCTGTGGGAACGATTCCAAACCAAGGCAACATTCATTGCATGGCATTCGAAAACTGGAAAATTGACATAATAATAATAATAATAAGGCCCTTAACCCCAGCTGCTCCAGGGGCATTAACACTGTATCCATACCAGTACATAATCATTTCACACCATTCCTACAGGAGTCCATACAACTACCGGAGAATCTTTTAAATTTACAACCCCCCCCCAATTTCACTAAGCCCATAAAATGACACATCACCCCATCACATCACAATATGCACTGCTGGCACCATTACTCCAATTGAGCACTTCGACTGGGCATGGTAGTAGTGAGGTAGTAGTGAGGGCATGAGTAGTTCCTCATTTTGCTGCGTCCACATTGAGGATATGAAGGATGAGGACTTTTTCAACTGTCTGAGAAAGTAAAGGCACTGTTGGGCCTTCTCTGTAGCTCCAGTTACATGCTGGGACCCCATTAAATCGTTAGCGATGAAGGTACCCAGGAACCGGAGGCTGCGAAGCATCTCAACAGCCATCCCGTTGATGTGAATAGGCGTGTCGTCCCCACCCTGCTTTCTGAAATCGGTGGACAGCTCCAGGTTTGGTTGACATTGAGGAAAAGAGATGATTGTCAGTGCACCACTCCACCAGGGTCCTGACCTCATCCCCGTAGGCCGTCTCATCCTGACTGGCGATTCGGCTGATGATGGTACTGCAGTGTCCTCAGCACACCTGCAGATGGAGCTGGAGCTGCGTCTGGCCTCACAGTCGTGGGTAAACAAGGAGAGCAGCAGGGGACCAAGCACACAGCCCTGAGGGACACCTATATCAGCGGTCAGCGGGGAAGAAAGCTTTCCATCGTCCCTCACAGTCTGTGGTCTGCCAGTTAGGAATCCAGACTCCAGCTGCAGAGAGACACCCAGATCAGACAACAGAGCTGATACCCAGATCATTAAGCTTGGTGACCAGTCTGGATGGAACAATAGTGTTAAAGGCAGAGCTGTAATCAATGAATAGCAGTAGTGTGCTATTGATGTCGGACGGTTGTCTGACCTGTAGCGCAGTATTGACGGTGCGGTATTACAGTGTGGTTTGGCAGCAGCATGATGGGTATTCAGGCCTGGGCAGAGTGGTGGCTCTGTGGCTAAGGATCTGTGCCTGTGGCTGGAAGGTTGCTGGTTCAAATCCCACAGCTGGCAGAGGAATCCTACTCCGTTGGGCCCCTGAGCAAGGCCCTTCACCCCAGCTGCTCCAGGGGTGCTGTATAAATGGCTGACCCTGCGCTCTGACCCCCAGCTTCTCTCCCTGTCTGTGTGTCTCATGGAGAGTGAGCTGGGGTCTGTGAAAAGACAAATTCCTAATGCAAGAGATTATATAGAGCCAATAAAGTGATCTGATCTGACCAGGGATCAGAGGAGATCCGTTCCCAAAACGGAGGCGCTTTCATTCAGGCTGTCGTCTGTTTCATCCCCTGTCTCTCTTGTTCTCCTCCCACCAGCCCCCCAGTCCGAGGCCATCGTGATCTACACAGGCTGGGACCGGCACGCCCTGGTGGGCTCCGAGGTGCGCCTCTACTGCTCCTTCTTCTCCTGGCGCTGGACCTCCGAGGACGTCACCTTCTCCTGGAGCTACCGGCCCGATGGCTCCCGGGACAGCATCTCGGTGAGGCATCAGAGAGGGGGGGGCAGGGTGTCCTTCAGCAGCAGACGGCACACAGAACACACACACACACACAAACACGCAAAACACATTAACACGAGCAGCAGAACCAACTGCTGAGCAAGGGAATAGGGGAGAGCTTGAACCTGGGAGCTGAGGGGAAGCGATTGGACTTGATTAGTCAAAGGGAGTCCTCAAGAAAGGAATGTGCTTTATGCAAGACTCGTAAGTGACAGAGGTGGCGGAGGGGGGAAAGATCAGCTCCCTTGGCTTGTTATGCTATAGTTTGACAAAAGGTCCAGTTTGTCCTGACTCCTGCGCTTCAGATTCTTAAAGGGGCCAGAGGACGGGTTTGGGCTTGAAAGGGTCCATGTCAGCAGCCTCATTTTGGACATTCTGGACAGGGATATAAATCTCAGGTGAGAGAGAGGAAGACAGCACGGATTTAAATCGCAGAACAGAGGACAAAGGACAGAACAGGTGAGAATGGACACATGGGTGAGAGAGAGGAAGACAGCAGGGACATAAATCACAGAACAGAGGACAGAGCAGTGAGAATGGACACACAGGCGAGAGAGAGAGGAAGACAGCAGGGACATAAATGACAGGAGGACAGAGGACGGAACAGTGAGAGTGGACACACAGGCGAGAGAGAGGAAGACAGCTCTTTGGCAGAGTGAGGTGTGTCTGCAGTAGAGTCAGCCTGAATGGTGGCAGACCCAGTCTCCGACCCCGCTGCCTCCTGACTCTGCCCTGCGTGCTCTTTCAGATCTTCCACTACACCGGAGGCATGCCCTACGTGGATAACAAGGGACCCTTCAGAGACCGCCTGGAGTTCATTGGGAATCCCCGCCGGAGAGACGGCTCCATCCTGATCCGGAACCTGGACTACAGTGACAACGGCACCTTCACCTGCGACGCCAAGAACCCCCCAGACATAGTGGGGAGACCCTCCAACGTGAGGCTCCTGGTCTACGACAAAGGTGACCGCCGTTCCTCCACGGCTCCCTGCGAGCAAGGAAGGGGGTCTCAGCCTTCGCCCAGAAGGAGCTTAAGGGCCGACAATGTGCACAAAGTCCTAAGTGACATTGAAACTCAGTCAGTCAGTTTCACCTCGCTAACCAGGTGTTAGTCTTGTCCTGGACTGGTACAGCTGACAGCTTGTCCTGCCCTGGACTGGTACAGCTGACAGCTTGTCCTGCCCTGGACTGGTACAGCTGACAGCTTGTCCTGCCCTGGACTGGTACAGCTGACAGCTTGTCTTGTCCTGGACTGGTACAGCTGACAGCTTGTCTTGCCTTGGACTGGTACAGCTGGCATCTTGTCTTGGTCTGAACTAGTGCAGTTGACTTCTTGTTGTGTCGTGGACGGGTACAGTTGATATATTACCTTGTCCTGGACTGGTACAGCTGACAGCTTGTCCTGCCCTGGACTGGTGCAGATGACATATTGTCCTGCCCTGGACTGGTGCAGATGACATCTTGTTTTCCCTGGACTGGTACAGCTGATATCTTGTCTTGTCCAGATAGCGTCTTGTCGTGCCCAGAATCTTGCCCTGCATCGTTATGGTCAATGTCTTGGCCTGGAGGTCCCCCACACAGCCCTGTGCTGGAGCCAGGATTGTCCCTGACCTCTCTCTCTCTCCCTCTGTGTGCTCTGTCTGCAGTGCCTGTCCGAGCTGGAGTCATTACTGGAGCAATCATCGGCTCAGTCCTGGGGCTGCTCATCCTGGTGGTGGCCATCTACTACCTAATGAGGTTCCTGGTGGCGAGGAGGGTCTTCAACCTCAGTGTGAGGTCAGTCTGCCACCCTCTGCGCCTGCTGCTCTTCTGGCACCCTTTGGCACACCTTCCAACAGGAACACAACCAAATCAAATGCTGGTCATACTGTGTGTCCCAGGTTCCCCAGAGATTCTGGTTGCACTCTTGTTTATTTAGAAATGAATAATAAGTTAGTTGTTTAATCCTTTATAATGTACAGTAACGGGACAAGCCACCATCAGCTGATAGCTCTAGAGCTGGGGTTAAGGATATGGTTCAGGCGATGGTCAGATTTAGGAAGATTATCCTGCAATGATTCTCCAGTAGAAGTGGGCTATTATCACATCCACTCCACTTCATTACCACTTTATCCATTTTATAAATATATTCCACTTGTGAAATGTTTTGCTACCCTGTATTTCGTTTAATTTCATTTTGTAAAAGAGCTTTTATCCTCATCGTCTCCTGTGTCTTTGTACGTTTCAACAGTTGGACAAACTCCTGCTCTGGGCCTAAAAAATAAAAACCAAACATGTTTAGAATCCTATCTGCACGCAGCTGAGTGAATTTGATTATTCTCATGTTTTTTTTTCTTAATTCCAGCAAACTTGAGAAGGGAAAGAAAGGCAAAGGCAAAGAGGGCTCACAACAGAGACAGGTAAGTTCTCCGTAGGTGGAGGTCACAAACACCACCTTGTTAAATTTCAAGTTCAAGGAAGCCCATTAGAGCCTTTGCATACAGTATATCCCATTGTGCGTCACAGGAGCTCTTCACAGTTCTAGTATACTGAATGTTATGGTTTTGTGGATTTGTTCTAGTTTGGAAAGCTGAACTCAAGTTAGCCTTTTCAGCGTGCTTTGGTGTGTCCTCCCTTAACTTTCCCCCTCATGTGTTCCTGTGCGCCCCCTTTATATCATCCCCCCCTGCCACCCCATCCCCAGCCTAAATATGTTCCCCTTAAAAAAAAAAAACCTCAGCTTCAATTAGAGTGTCTCCTTACAATTTGTGGTTTCTCTGTCATTTTAATCTTCCATAAAAATCACTATATTACCAAAATCAGGATAAAGTCTGATATTGTCTTATAAAAAAGGAACAAAAAATGTTTTATTGCCAACAAACAAGCTCGTAAGGTTATAAGATTTGGAAGTAACAATGAATCACACCTGTGATCTGAATTTTCTCAAACTCCTAAAACTCAGGATTAGAGATAACTAAGCTATTTTTTGGGGGGGGAGAGTGGAACAAGTAGAAGTTAACTCGATGCTGAAAGAGGCAAAGAGCAGCCAAAACGTTAGGTCTCACCCATTCACAGCTCCTCACTGGAAAAATATTTTTCCTTCTGGCCCATCAGATTTCTTTGTCTTTGTTTTGCATCCAGATATAATATCAAGATGTCACGCATACCAAATTATAAAACCAGATATAACATCCAAAGAAATGGTCTCCAAAAAAGAGAAAACATATTCTGTATTTCGACAATTTCTGCAAACGTTTTCAGCCCAAGAATGTTCTGAATGGGGAGGCAGGTCCATGCATTTTCCTTGAAATACAAGAGGAATAATACTTCAGTGTCAGATTGCGCCGAAATGTGTTTTGCATTCAAGCAGCTATGTTTTACATCTGCAGAAAGTTATCAAAAAGGAGAAAAAAATCCTTATAAAAAAGGAAAAAAAACAGTGGAAGTAAACATAGCATTAAAAATATCAAAAAATCATTCCGTAACATAAATCGACCCATACATAATCTTTACGCACTGTACTACCCTTACAGGAATCCCCACAACTGCACCAGACCACTCAAATTGACCCCCCAAAACTCAAGCCCCTCAAGCCCCTATAATTGCACAGGACACCTTCACTCTCAAATATAGCGCACTGATTGCCCGTGCCCTTAAACCGGTACTCCTTCAGTGTGACAGATCTGCGCGTGCTTAAAAGAAGAGATTTTGTTTCTGTCGGCGACGCAGATATGAAAAAAAAGAGTAAAATAAACACAGCACAGTCAAAGGGCAGAGAGAAAGCGATTGTCCTTCGTCCTGTTCAGATCCTTCTTGTCAACCGCACTATAGGGGGACACTCCCCCACAGCCTCGCCGACGCTATAGAGAGAACGGGGCCGCGTTGTTGCTCTCGCCACCTGAACTCCCTAAAGAGCTTTTGTGACAGAGTGTTTGAAGTTCTGGATACAACTCTGGATAAAACAGAACTGTAATAGCTGTGGCGGCGTTTGAGGGACTCGTCCATCCGGAGTCGAACGCACAGGGGAGACACAGGAGTTTCTGTCAAGGGGGGGGGTTGAACACAGTGAGGCGAAACGGCACTCCAGGCACATCGTTGGCGGAATGTCATTGGGGGTCGTCTCTGTCTTCCAGGAGTCGGCCGCGTCCGAGGAATAATTTGCCGGGCTCGAAAAATCGAATTCGGCTAGGTACGGGCGCAAATCTTCTTTCGCCTTCATTTCCTTCCCCCCCACCAACCCCCTTTCCTCTCCCCCACCCCCTTCACTTGCGCGTGGTTTTCGGAGGTCAGGGACCGCCGAGGGTCACGAGGGAAAGAGCAGAGAGGCTGCGTTCGTCCAGACAGCACCCACCGGGGAAAGACGGCACCCATCGGTCGGGAAAAACACACAACCCCCCACCCCCCGAAAAAAAAAAAAAACAGACTCTCCCTCCCATCCCAGCGCATGCCGGGAGAGTGGGAGGAAATTGTAGTCGCGCGGGATGTTGCTCCTCTGAGCTCTTCGGGATCGGAGAGTCCGTCTGCGTCTCTGTCTGTGTCTGCATGAACGATCCCGGTCTTCGATGTGCACTAACCCTCCCGGCCACTCTCCCTGCTCCCTCCCGGCCTATCCGCACCCTCGCTCAGTGAACCTGTGCTCTGACCTAAATGGCGACAGGGAAGGATGTTCCCGAGCATCTGCTTTTACGGCAAATCCCACATTACGACTTCCACGATGTCCTGCTTAAGCGCCGTAAATTCCTGACTAGGACCACAACTGAATGACCTTTTGGTCTTGGAGTCAGTTGGGAGTCATGGAACCATTAATTCAGCTGGTCCCACAAGTAGGATTCTTGGGATCCGAGCGGGACTCCACCGGGATGCTTCCCAACCGAGCGTTACGTCAGCTCCCAGCGGTGCTTTGGGAAGCATTCCCTTTGCGTTGAGTTCGCCCAGCCCTCGACCCAGACGAAAACAAGGAGAAACGAACCTGTTGAAAAATGTTCAAATTTAGCCCCGGGACTCTTTGAAGTCCCAGACGATTGGCCCAACACGTTCCGGCTTCTTTGTGCCGTTCCGGGCTGGGAAAGACGCGGGTTGGGAGCTCCGTGTGGTTCGGAAAGGGTCAAAGTGTTCTGACAGTCCAGCTCTCCTGCTCACCCCTGATCTACCTCAGCCTGTCCCCCATCACCCCCATCTCATTTCTAACAGAGTTCGTGTCCCTCGGCACGGACGAGACGCTCAGTGTGACCTAGGTCAAAGTTTCCCAAAATGGGAGCCTGTGGGAACAGCCGGGATGATCCCTAGAGAGACAGATGTGTCCCAGGCACAGCCTGGCAGAACATCAACTTCCCCTCACCACAAGACAAATCAGCACTTCAGTTTTCAATAACCGGCCTTGTTCTCCTTGACAGTCGTCCTTTGTTCACGCTAACTGGTTCAGTTTTCTTTCTCAAGGTAATTGTGAGTCGTGTTCATGATGACATGCTTTTTTAAGAATGTCGCTTTTTAAAGGTGGGAGGGGGAGGGCAGGAAGGGAGTGGGGGGCAGCTTTGTTTTTTACACCCCAATCAGGACATTTTGGGAACCTCTGATCTAGTTGGCACTTTGCTTTCCATTGACCTCACCCTTGGTGTCTCTCCTTCTAGGTTATCAATGTTAGAGCTGCTGCCTGAATCATGTAGGACTGACCGAATTGTCCCCATTGTCAATATCTGTATAGATCCATAGGAAATGGTGTTTATTCTAATTTAGGTCCTGCAAAACTAGTTTCCACCAAGGAGGGAAGAATCTCCTTTATGGGGGACATACATGTATTCCAAATGAGCTTTAATTCTGGCACTGGGATTGCCACGACTTGGAAGATTCCTGAAATTGGGTATTAGAGGGGTGATCCTCAGATCCTTGTACATTCCACCAGTGCTGCCCTGCTGTGCTGGCTAAATTCATTTTGAAAGTCCCACTTCCTCATCCTTGCCTGCTTGGTTAAAGCAAGTTTGCGCTGTACTTGTCCTGAAGGGCCAGTGGGTCTGGCTTTGTAATGGCTTGCTGGGACCAGTCCTGCTCTTCAGGAGCTGCTGCTCTGAAGAGACCTAGAAAACATGCAGACACACCTGGCCCTCCGAGACCAGGCCTGCCCACCTCGGTTTTAAAGACGTTGATTGGTGTGGACAGGTCCAGCCATCAGCACAGTTTCCTTAACAAAACCACTCTAGGAGGAGCATTCAAGTAGGCAGCTGTGTCAGCCTGCGTACTGTAGGCTGCAAATGAAATAGGTTTATTCCAGGCTGAAAAGAAACAACGTTTCAGCTGTGGAGCCTTCTTCTGGTGTGTGAATCATAATGAAAACATCTCTACCTCTTCCTCTCTGCCATTTTTTAAAGACTTTTCTTCCCAGTTACTCGTTTGCAGGATGCCGCGTGTGACCGTAGGAGATCCTGTTCTTGGAGAGTGATTCCAGTGTTGCCAACCTAGTGATTTCTGTCGGTCGATCAAACCTCTTTTTGGTAATTTTCCTGTTCGCCAATGGGCCCAAGCGACCGATGGCAGATCTGGCGCATTTATCTCCAGAGCAGAGCGAAATCAAAGATGCTCACCCGACACTGTGGTGATTCCTCCAGCTCTGCCAAGTCTGCCAAGTCTGACCCGAGCTGGGATGTTCTTTAAAGTCTGGCCAGTAGATTTCAGAGAGAGGTACGTGCTATGTATCCTCGTCTGGGTGCCTGCCTCTGATTCCATTCTGCTTCCCAAAGCCCCTGCTCCTGAACCCAGCTCTCGGGAGTTGGGCCGATCTCCTGCTGGGTCCGAGGTGGGATCCGAAGGCACTTCCTGTCGCTAGAGTTGGCAACTCTGTTCAGTTCTCTTCCCCCCCCCCCCCTCCCCCTTTTAGCCACATTGACTAACTGACCGCCTGCTTGTTCCAGTGCTCCCGGCGGACTGTTTGAGTGATCCGATTCTGTTCCCCCCCCCCCCACAGGGACCAGTGCTGTACGCCACGCTGGATCAGTCCAGTAAGCTGCTGAAGGGGGTCGGCTCGGAGAAGAAGAAGTCGGGGGACTCGAGGAAGGATAAAAAATAGGATACGGCGAGCAGAGAGCTAGCAACAGAGCAAAGGGACCAAATTGGCACCAAGAAAAAAGAGAGCAGGCGGGAGAGGAAAGAACGAGAGAAGCGCGAGAGGGCGAGGGAGGGGGAGGGGGCGGGAGAGGACGGGAGCAGGTCGCCCAAGTCTCCCAAGAGTTCCCGGGTGGTCATGACCATCGAGCTGGAGCTCACGGGAGACGGGAAGACGGCCCCGGGCGAGGGCCAGGAGGGAAAAGGCGAACAGCCCCCAGAGATCCCCAAGAAATCCTCTAGCTTCCTCTCGCAGCTCTCCAACAAGCTCAGCCCCAAGAACAACGGCTAGCCGCCCAGGTCGGAGGAGAACGCGACCGTTCCCGCCAGGAGAGAGTTTAACCGTAAACACCAAGCGTCTGTTGTTCTGTTTTCCGGGTTCATCTCTGTGTTTGAGGGCTTCCCCAAACATCATCACGAAGAACCCAGAGACCGGGCAGCGGCAAAAAAGTTGAACCGTGCGTCCGACCAAAACGGCTATCTCGGAGAACGGGCACGTTCACCATTTCCCGCCCTTGAAAATCGTTATCCACGACTTCAAACACCGGCTTATAAAAAAAAAAACGGTCTCGGTGCGATCAATCCGACAACTGTCACGAGAGGCGATTTTGCGGCCCGTTTCGAATCCCTCACGTGCTTCGGTTTATTTTAAAAAAAGGGGGAGGTTGGGGGGGAGGAAGAAAATAAGATACGATTTTGGCCCAAGTTACATAAAATACCCTCCATTTGCAGAACTACTGCCCTAGTGTGTCATGGCGGATATTCACCAAATGCAAACAAGCAGCCTTTTATTTAAAAAAAACATAAAAAACAAAGTTTCGGTTACACTCCCAGAAATCCCATTTTGTGCAAGGCTAAGACACTGCCCTGTAGGATTGTAGTCATGAGCTGACAGATCACTGAATGCAAAACATGCGCCTCAAGTGCCATAATCCACAATACACTTCCAGTGTTCTGTAGGTTCAGAACCTCGATTTTGCAAGTTTACTGATTGATTGAGCCATTGGTGGACTGATTGATCGAGTGATTGGTTGATTTCAGGACAAGCTGTATGCTATATGTGCTTTAACAATGTTGTTTTTCTCGCTTGTTTCATTTTGCTAAACAAATTTACAGATAGACTTGTGTCCTAAGGCTAAATTTCCCAAATGTTAAAGGATTATCTGCTCAACGAAATGTCTTGTTCAATTAGGTTTGTGCAGACCTTTATCTGTAAAGCCTTTTACATTTGCATGTTTTTCCGGCACTAATTCTCTTTTTCCTTTCCCCCTCTCTGTCTCTCTGTCTCTTTCTCTCCTGTGCTTCATTCAACCCATCCTGGCAAGATATTTTAAGTCAATATCGCTATGAACTAAATGGCAGCAGACAGCTGTTTCTATGAAACCAGTAATTGAACCTGTTTTACGGGGGATACACCTGCAACCTTACTGTTTGTTTCTCTTCTCGGCACATAAATTAATGAGCGGCTCTCATTGATGAAGTTCAATATTGAGACCATGTCGTGATTTACCTGTCTTTTCCATTTACAACCAATGTCACAGGAACAAAAAAAGCACTTAAAAAGTTAACGCTTTTAAACCACGTTAACATCCGCATTAAATAGAAATGTTGGTTGCTACATATGTATCTGACTCTCAGAGCTGTACTTAAATGTGTAAATTGAAGATCGGTTTCATGGTGCGAACTTTACTAAAGTAAATACTTTAGATCCTTAACTTGTAGCTGCAGTGGTGTGAGGTTGTCTAATTTGTAAAGACTCTTTGTGCGTTACAAGCCTCTTATTTCTTCCTGTCTATCGTTTCTTCTAAAAGCTGCACGTCCAACCCCAGTCACTGACTCTAACTTCCTGTCCTGTTTCCTCCTAATTGATAAAGGGTCTGAACATCCCTAGCATCCCACGACCCCCCCAAAAATCCAATTGTCGGGATAGCATGTGGCACACCAATGGAGCTATTACATCCTGACAAGACGTTTTAGCATCCAGGTCCATGTGAAACGAGCGACTCTCACGACGATGAGCTTCACTCATGGGGAGTTGGGGGGCTCTGTCGTTTCGGTCGGTTGCAGTTTACTTGAAGCGCATATTTAAGGAACACAGACTGGAATGACTTAAAGGGAATTGGGTCCGACTCTGGGAATCTGGGAAGCATGGCAGAAATCTCTCTCACGCCGTTCATGGGACAAGACAAATATTGCTTCTTAAATCCCTCGCACCCTACTGGGTAAATAACGAGCCGCCATTTTAAATTGTTGTTAGTCATTTGGCTGGAGGAGCGAGCGGCACTCAGGCTCACCTTCTTCATCCTCCTCCTCCTCCTCAACATTGGCCCATAGCTTGTGCTGCCAGCTTGTGGTGCCGGAACCGTCTCTCTGCCGCACCCTGAAAAGCCAAAGCAAACCTTTCTAACATCATGCCGTTCACGAAATCGCGGCTTTCCGGGATTTCGGTGGAACCCCGCAGTTTCCTCAGCCGGCTTTTCCTCAAGCTTCCAGGTGTAGCGGAGCCGGAAGCGGTCGTGTAGATTTGCCCAGAAACGCCGTGCTTCCGAACAGGCGGATCTCTGGGGCAACCCGTTCTCCAGCAGACACCGCTCGCGGCTTGTTTTCTCGAGCGACGGAAAGCCGAATGAAGTCGCGCGGAAAACGAATCGGAGGCTGGGAGGGAAAACCAGAACAAACTTGGTGTTTACGTTAAACTCAAGAGAAAGGCAGCCGGGGTCATAAAAACTTAAGATGTCTGACTCCCCCCCACCACCCCACCCACCCAGCACGGCCAGTCAGACAGCTTTAAGGAAAGCCCTGCCGCCTGGCACTCCTTCTTCGTTCGGTCTCCTTGGCGACTTGCCGGTTTGGCCCCCACCTTCCCACCTTCGACCTTTGACCTTTCGATCTGGGAGACAAGCCCCTTTCTGGACTCTGTCTCGGCTGGATCACCTTAACGCGCAGCCCTAAAAAAGTCGGTCCCTCTCCCACCGCCCCAGAAGACTTCACAAACTTCTGCTCTTTTCCCATGATGCACTGAGCCAAGCAAAACTCTCTGCACGAGGCTCTGCGAATTATTTTTGTAAACTTTAGACCAACACTGCACTGTAAAATGCAGCAAGTAAAAGTGTTGAAATTCTAATTTGTGCTAGCTCTCTGCCAGGTGTGTACGTAGAAATGCATGTTAAAATAAACTTAATTATAAGCCTATGTTTTACCTGGTTATACAGAAAATAATAATAAAGAAGACAGATATTATTTCTGTATCCTCTTTTTTGTGACTGTAAGACAGGATCCCTGAGGCTTGGTTTTGTGAGTGATCCACACACCAACATTTCCACTGTTTTCCTCATTGAAAAAGCACAGCGGAATAGCTGATAGCTGACAGCAGTGAGTGCTGTGGGGAAACTGAAAGGATAGAAAACAGATTGGCCAGCATTAAGGACTTAATGGAACCTTGAAACACCGAAGCAATGATTAATAAAGACCTTCTTAGCTTCTCCTGTTTTTTTTTTTAATAGTGTATCTAGTTTGCTTGGACTAAGGTTATCGCCTTTTTCAAAGCAGATTATCGAGAGCCATTAAGAGCTGCTGCAGGATGAGCAGGTGCTGTGCTGGCGCCCTCTACTGGGCCTGTCTTGGCAGACCGTCTTGGTGCTCAGAGACCCCCTCTCAGAGAATCACGAATCGTTCTTGTGAGTTGCGAATACAGCCCCAACACATACACTCGTCAGCCGACAAATTATGAAAAATAGCATATTTTTTCACGGATTCCTCGGGCTCAAGCTGTCAGCTATCGCTTATTCCCCAAATGCACAACTTCTTTGTTTTTCTTAAAGGGGTTTTATATTTGTTGCAATGATGAGTCACAGACCAGCCTGAAGGATTCCTGAGGTCCTGAGATAATACATATAAAAAGCCTTTAAGTGTCTTGAAACCATTTTGTGATTTTTTTTTTCTTTTGTGAACGTTTCCTTTTTCCATTAGAAATAACGGAGATGTGGATTGTTAAAACACGTTAAAAATCATTAATAACATTTTTTTTTGTCCTGTCCTGGGACAGTACTAACCCCTCCCCCCTCCCCCCCTTTTCTGTCTTTTCTGCAATTGTTGTAAAATAAAAAAAAGAAACTTGTAATGTGGAAAAAAAAATAAATACAAAAGGATGAACTATTAGGTTTCGAGTTTCCTGTGTTGCTTGTTGACCTCACAGTTTGTTGCAATGAGGCACATATTGGATTTTTAGGTAGTCTCTCATTCCGATCAGATCATTGGCCAAACCCAGAGTCAGCTTTACGGCCAAACCAGCCCTTGGGGTTCTTAGAAATATTTTGTAGTGCATTCAAAATAACAGAGAGACAAAAAGAGACAAATACAATGAAGAAAAAGAAAGAAACAATCATGATGAACATACACATCATATGAAAAACACAATACAATGCTACATTACAGTGAAGACAGAATCCACATATTGTAAATACGTTTATTACGTATTGATGGAATACTTTTGTAAAGACTTTTATAAGAAGAATAAGAAGAATAGGAATCATTTCACTTACATAGCATTTTTCTGGACACTCCACTCAAAGTGCTTTACAGGGGAATCCCACTACTGACACCAATGTGTGGCCCCACCTGGATGAAGCTCCAGTCTGCTCACACACAGCAGCTCTCAGTGGGGAGGAGAGCAGAGTGATGAAGCCAGTTCAGAGATGGGGGTTATTAGGAGGCCATGATGGGTAAAGACACCCCTACTCTTTTCAAGAACCACCCTCAGATTTTTAATGACCACAGAGAGTCAGGACCTCAGGTCTGATACTGTGTCACTCCCATTGTGTGTGTCTAATACACTGTCCCCTCTTACTGTGGGCGTGTCCAATTCAGTGTCACTCCCACTGTGGGTGTGTCTGATACAGTGTCACTCCCACTGTCAGGTGTGTCTGATACAGTGTCACTCCCACTGTGGGCGTGTCTGATACAGTGTCACTCCACTGTGGACGTGTCTGATACAGTGTCACTCCCACTGTGGGTGTGTCTGATACAGTGTCACTCCCACTGTGGGCGTGTCTGATACAGTGTCACTCCACTGTGGACGTGTCTGATACAGTGTCACTCCACTGTCAGGTGTGTCTGATACAATGTCACTCCCACTGTGGGCGTGTCTGATACAGTGTCACTCCACACTGTGGGCGTGTCTGATACAGTGTCACTCCCACTGTGGGCGTGTCTGATACAGTGTCACTCCCACTGAGGGTGTTTCTGATACAGTGTCACTCCCACTGTGGGCATGTCCGATACAGTGTCACTCCCAC